GGGGGTATGCCCGCACCAGGCAGAGGTGGCGGAGGGGGTATGCCCGCACCAGGCAGAGGTGGCGGAGGGGGTATGCCCGCACCAGGCAGAGGTGGAGGAGGGGGTATACCCTCACCAGGCAGAGGAGGAGGAGGAGGTATCCCTACTCCGGGGAGAGAAGGGGGCAGAGGTATTCCCACACCAGGAAGAGGAGGGGGAGGAGGTATTCCTAGACCTGGCAGGGGAGGAATGAGAGGTGTGGGAGGGGCAGGAGGTACAAGCTGGACACCTGGCAGAGGTGGAGGAGGAGGTATTCCCTCACCAGGCAAAGGTGGGGGAGAGGGTGGCAGCATTTCTGCACCCAGCAGAGAAGGAGGTGGAGGAACTGCTGTACTGGGCAGAGCTGGCACTGCCATGCCAGGGAGAGGAGGAGGGGGAGGAACAGCCAAGCCCAGGCCAGGTATGGAGCTGGAGGGCCCTGTGCAAGGCAGAGGTGGTGCGGGTGGGATGCTACAGCTATTTTCAGAGGACAAGAAGACAGAGTGTTCATGGCTGATTTCGGAGTCAGTACTAAGAGATAGATGGGAAGGCTGTGACCCCGGTTGTCCTTGAGTGTCAGACCACGAATGGGATGGAGGTGGTGGAGGCTGTGATACACTCGGCATGGACTGAGGTGTGTCGAGCTGCACTTCTATTAGCCTTGGAGACACAATCAAGGAAATCTCTGAGCAGAATGTTGTCTGAGGTCCAGAAGCTGAGGACGGCATGGCTGACTCCACACTCTCAGCCCCCACTGGGCACGGAAGACACTCTGGCAATGTATTCACAGAAGCGACTATTGACAGTCCACCCTCTCCTGTCGGAGAAGTCTGTATCGATTTTGCCTCTAAACTCCTTTGATGCTGTGCATCCTTTTCTCCTAACCTGAGAGCTTCGAGGCAGACATCTTCTGCAGGCGTCACACCATTCCCAACCCCACGACGGCCCACGGCCATCTCCATGTCCACAGCAGGGTACTGCTTCTCCAGTTCAGCGATTTTGGTCCTCAGATCCTCAATGGTCTGTTCCAGCTGCTGAATCACAGTTGCCTGGCCCTCAGACTTCATGTCAAAAACATCCTGAGGGGCAACAAGAGCAGGCATAGTGAAATATGAAGGAAAAAATTAAAATATCAAAAAAAAGACTTATAATATTAAGTAAAATCATGTTTGTTTATTTAACATACTTCTAGAAAGATTCCTGCACAGAAAGATACTATTAGTATTTCTATGTATCTCCTCTTTAACACCCTCAATTTCAAAGTGGTTTACACACATTATCATAGGATCCTAAAGCCCCTTATTTAATCTTTAAGTGATATGATTGAGGACAAGTAGATAGCTAGGAGTTCCTGGGTGATGCAAACAGTTAACGCACTGGGCTGCTAATTGAAAGACTGGCGGTTCGAGTCCACCCTGAGGCACCTTGGAAGAAATGCCTGGCCATCTACATCTGAAAAATCAGCCACTGAAAACCCTATGGAGCACTGTTCTACTCTGACACCCATGGGGTCGCCATGAATTGGAGTCAACTTGACAGCAACTGGTTGGTAGGTAGATAACTGAGTCCACCAGAGAGTTAGGGAAGAAAAGTATGAACAACAAACCAAGTTATTCCCAAGATAAGCTTCTCTCTTCCCTGCTGCTAGGGTCCTCCCCAAACATATACCCCTTTTAAAGGTAATCAATGAATGAGTATCCAATAAGAATATGTGAAATACTTTTGACAAACCGTATGGGCATGGATATATATCTTATGAGCACGTGTCTTACCACTTATATCGTGTTCACTATAATTTTAATATTTTACCAAGGCATTTCAAAAAGTGATAAACATGCGGTTCTCTATAATTTCTAAAGAAGGTAGGTGATAACTACTGTGCCAAATTATGAGTCACACTCATATCTAAATGGTGTCTTCCTTTCCCAAGATACACAATAGACCAGGGATCCTTCATGGGGGAAAAGAAAATGTTTCAGTAGGAAGGAAGAAAAAATCCCACAGGTAAATTAAATATGAATAAAAGATGATTAAGAGGAAAAAAGAGACTGACTCGATGGTAGCTAACAACAATACCAAGAGGACAAGAGAGGAAGGAGGAGAGGATAAAGATAAAGGAAGAAAAACAAGAGAGCAGAATGTAGAAGAGAAGGAAGACAAGGAAGAAGCTGTGCGTGAGCTGCAGAGTTAGAAAACTGCTTACACAGAGCAGAATTTGCTCACTGAAGGCTGAACGATAGAGAGGGAGGGAGTTCTTGTGTTGAGAACTATTTCTTCAGCATGTTCCAGAGTTTTTCAAAGATGATGAGTGTTATGGATGGAACTGTGTCCCCCAAAATTGTGCGACAACTTGGCTAGGCCATGATTCCCAGTATTGTGTGGCTGTCCACCATTTTGTGATCTGATGTGATCATCCTATGTGCTGTAAATCCTAACCTCCGTGATGTTAATGAGACAGGATTAGAGGCAGTTATGTTAGTGAGGCAGGACCCAATCTACAGGATTAAGTAGTATCTTGAGTCAATCTCTTTTGAGATAAAAAAGAAGCAAGGAGAGAGGAGAGGGACCTCATTAACACCAAGCAAGAAGAGCCAGGAGCAGAGCATGTCCTTTGGAACCAGGATCCTGGCACTGAGAAGCTCCTATACCAGGGGAATATTGATGACAAGGACCTTCCCCCAGAGCTGACATAATACAGAAAGCCTTCCCCTGGAGCTGGCACCCTGAATTCAGACTTCTAGCCTCCTAGACTGGGAGAGAAAAAAATTTCTGCTTGTTAAAGCCACCCACTTGAAGTATTTCCGTTATACTAGCACTAGATAACTAAGACACTGCCTAACAGAGGCCACTATAAAAAGCAAGAGGCCAGATAACACTGCTTATCTTCCCCACATGAGAGCCTGCAGCTAACAGTCCAGACCTGCTTTTTACATATTGTGGAAGAACAATTAAGGGGTGATATCCACTTACACAATAAAAATTATAAAACAATACTAAAAGAGACTAAAAACCCCATTGCCCTCGAGTTGATTCCAGTTCATAGCGACCCTACAGGACAGAGTAGAACTACTCCATAGAGTTTCCAAGGAGTACCTGGTGGATTTGAACTGCCGACCTTTTGGTTAGCAGCTGTAGCACTAAACCACTATGACACCAGAGTTTCCAGAAGAGACTAAAGAAGACCTAAATAGATGAAGAGATGTTCCATACTCATGGATTAGATGACTTAATAGAGTCAAGATGTCAATACTACTCAACGTGATCTACAGACACAATGCAATTCTGATCAAAATTTCAACAGCATTTTTTCCAGATACGGAAAAACAAATCCTCAATTTTATATGGAAAGACAAGAAACTCTAAACAGCTAAAACAATTATGAAGAAGAATGAAGTAGGAAGTTTCACACTTCTTGACTTCAAAACATATTACACCACTGCAGTAATCAAAACAGCCTGGTACCGGTTTAATTATAGACACATAGACCAATGGAATAGAATTGAAAATCCAGAAATAAATCCAAACACCTATGGTCAACTGATTTTCAACAAGGCTGTTGTCATGGATTGAATTGTGTCCCCCAAAAATGTGTGTCAATTTGGCTAGGCTGTGATTCCCAGTATTGTGTAATTGTCTACCATTTTGTCATATGATGTGATTTTCCTATGTGTTGTAAATCCTATCTCTATGATGTTAAGGAGATAGGATTACAGGCAGTTATGTTAATGAAGCAGAACACAATCTACAAGATTAGGTTGTGTCTTAAGTCAATCTCTTTTGAGATAAAAGAGAGAGAAGAAAGCACAGTGACGGGAACCTCATACTACCAAGAAACGAGCCAGGAGAATAGTGCATCCTTTGGACCTTGGGTCCCTGTGCTGGGAAGCTCCTAAACCAGGGGAAGATTGATGACAAGGACCTACCTCCAGAGCCAATAAAGAGAGAAAGTCTTCCCCTGGAGCTGGCACCCTTGAATTTGGACTTCTAGCCTCCTAGACTATGACAGAATAAACTTCTGTTTGTAAAAGCCATCCACTTGTGGTATTTTTGTTAGAGCAGCACAACATAACTAAGACAGATGCCAAATCCATGCAATGTGGAAGGAACAGTCCCTTTAACAAATGGTTCTGGCAAAACTGGATTTCCACACAGAAAAATGAAACAAGATCCATACTTCTCACCACACACACTGAAACTATTTCAAAATGGATCAAGGACCTAAATGTTAAATCTAAAGCCATAAACTTCTTGGAAGAAAATATAGGGGCAAAGCTTTGGGACCTAGTTTTTTTTTTTTTTCAGTGATATATTATCAAACACAACAATGAATGCACAAGCAATAGAAAACAAAATACATAACTGAGACCTCATATAAGTTAAACACGGATGAACCTGAAGGACATTACGTTGAGCAAAATAAGTTAATCACAAAAAAAAAAATATCGTATGGTCTCAGTTTTATGAAATGGCATGGACAAGTAAATATACAGAAACTAAAAAAAAAGAGGTAGATGATATTAAATATGAAACTAAACACTTATCCTGCTTGGCCAAGGATAAACTCTGGATCCAAGAAAAGTCTCCAAAAAATTAAAGTTTTCTTTAGCCTTTATCAAATCCAAGACAAATATTCAACCTAGTTGCAGTGCCAAAATTGCTGCTGGACAAGGCAGAAGTGGGCATTAACCATAAATGCAGCACTTTTGATGCCATCTTATAAAAATCTTCAAAGTTGCTTTTTTGGGGGGAGTGGGGGGAGAGAAGGATATTTTAGAGGTACTTTATATTTACACGTAAATATAGGTCATTCTGCTGTACATAGGGTTGCTATGATTCAGAACCAACTCAATGACACCTAACAATATGCATATATTTATAGATATGATTTTTTTTTAATGCCTTAAGTCACTATTTTTCTCCAAAGTCTACACAAAAGACTGAAGTATTATAATGCAAGTATCTGTCACTTTGTCGTACTGTGGTGGGTTGTGTGTTACTGTGATGCTGGAAGCTATGCCACCAGTATTTCAAATATCAGCAGGGTCACCCGGGTGGAGAGGTTTCAGTGAAGCTTCCAGACTAAGACAGACTAGGAAGAAGGACCTGGCAGTCTACTTTAGAAAAAATTGGCCAATGAAACCTTTACAAAGAGCAACGGAATACCAGCTGGTATAGTGCCGGAAAATGAGCCCCTCAGGTTGAAAGGCACTCAAAATACAAGTTGGGAAGAGTTGCCTCTTCAAAGTAGAGTCAACCTTAATGATGCAGATGGAGTCAAGCTT